AAACAGCTCCTTTGCTCTTCTATCATTTGCTGCTTCCCTAGCTGCTTCTGCTTTCTTGGCTGCTTCCTTTGCTGCTTTCTTTGCTGCCATCGCCGCTTTCTTTGCTTCCCTTGCTGCTTTCTTTTCCTCCTTGGTTGGTGGTGGTACCTCTGCTACTCTTCTTGCCACGCGTTTTGTTTTCTTTCTTGGAGGACGCTTGTTCCCTGCACCTGCTGGAGGAGACTTTAGATGAGACCTCTTCCTTGCTGCAACACCAGATGTCCCAGCACCAGCTGCTGATTGCCATCTAGGCAAACGAGTGTCCAGCATCGATTCAGCTGCTGGTACTGACATTCGAGCTGGCAACTGAGCAGCTCTAGCAGCTGGCAACCGAGCAGCTCTAGCAGCTGGCAACCGAGCAGAGCCAGCAGCTGGCAACCGAGCAGCGGCAGCAGTTGGCAACCGAGCAGTTGGCAACCGAGCAGTTGGCAACTGAGCAGCCGGCATCCTAGCAGAGCCAGCAGCCGACATCCAAGCAGAGCCAGCAGCCGGCATAGTACGAGCAGCTTGCATTCTATCACTGGCAGCATGCCTCTTCAAAGTCTTAATCAAGCCCCCAATAGTTGCCACTATGTCACCATTAAACAGATGACTAAAATCATGTATCCAAGTCATCAGTTGTTGAACCTCCTGCATCTCATCACCAGCAGAGGAAGATGAAAGCAAYGTATYGATTCGATGTAAAGCAGACTGAGTGAGAGGGGTGTCTTCCACAGCACCAGGATCAGTCAAACGCATGAGGATTTGTTGTCTCAGCTTTACATGAAAGGGTTGGGTCTCTTCATCAGTGTGAGGAGTACAACGAGGATGGATATTCCTACCAACAGGTGTGTACTCATCCTCCTCGGTACTGCTTGAACCAGCAATATCAATGGCATCCTGGCCAGCAGCAGCCCTCAGTCTAGAGGCAAGAGGATCATACTTGGATGGCAACCTAGCAAGACCCCTGTCCCCCCCAAGATCATTCCTGTGTCCCCTATCACTGTAGTTTCGATTGCTGTAGTGTCTTGCATTCCTCCTCTCACTAGCCGAAAAAGAGACTGGCCGAGGCTCTTGAAAAGGGGCCCGACTGAACTGCTGAACCGGTCCCCTCTGCTGAGCCGGTCCTCCCCTCTGCTGAGCCGCGACTGGTCCCCAGGACAGAGCCGGTCCTCTCTGAGCCCGCGGCCCACTCCTTTCTGGAATAGTCCCTCCTCTAAGCTGGTTAACGCCAAGCCCATCAACCCTAGTTCTAATTCCCCTTGGGACCATCTTTTGAATAGTGTTCCTAAAAGCCACATCAGACTGAAAGTGAATATCAGTCTTAGTGTAATCAGCTGCATGTCCATACGCGTCTTGCTCAAACTGAGCACTTCCCAAAGGCTGACAGTTATCCAGCGTTGCATCAAAGCGTCCTCTATGGACATGCTTCGACAGTGCGTCCTGGAGCTTCCCCAGAGGGTTCCCTGAATACTGTTCCTCCTCTGGCTCAGGACCACTTCGAAGCCTCTCTTCATTCTTATCAATATTGAACCTGTCAGCTAGATAGAAATAGATTGAGCACTGGCAGTTGCAGAGGGGACAGTTGCAAGCAACTGGTGATCCCGTCTGTGGATCATACTCAAGATAGTCAACGCCTGGCTTGCTACACTCAGGACAAGTCCCCCCCCTTGGATCCAGATTACAGTTGAACTTGCAGCAGTAACAAGCCATCCTTACATCCAAAATACCCTTGAGCCTAGGACGTCCCTTCTTGTCCCTGCTCACTTCATCATGCGCTGCAACAGCAGTATCATGCTCCTTCTCCATCCGCAAGTTGTGCTTTTCAACCTCCCTCAAATCATCAACTGGCATGATGGAATAGTTGTCACAGATAGGGCATGGAAACCTATCCAGCTTGGCTGGATCAAAGTCCCAATCATCCTGTACACGCGACTGTCCCTTCTGCCAGTAGACCTTGCCTTTCTTCTGCTTGGACGCCTTTAGTCTAGTGCTCTGTTCATCATCTTTCATTGCCTTCTTTACTGCTTCAGCAACATCCTCAAGCACGTCTGCAGCTGCACGAGTCCTTCTGCTTTCCCTTTTTTGTTGGTCACTCCTCTCCTTCCTGATCTCCATCCCTGTAAAGAATTTGGCAAGCAATGTAGCTGAATAGGCCAGGCTCCAGTGTTTCTTAATCATGTACTGAGTGCTTCCTGTCATGGTTACATCATGATACACCCTCTGCATCTCATKGGACAGGGCGTCTCCCCCAGGAAAGACAGCTTTGATAAGGTCTTGGTTGAGCTTGTCCCTAATTCGAACCAGCAAATCTTTCTTTTCTTTCAGTGAAAGAAACTTCCTCTTGACCAGTGCAGCCTGTGCTGTCTGGAACAAAGGATGAGATGCTGCTGGTTGTATTGGTGGAGCAGGAGGTGGTGGTGGTGGCGCGGCTGGAGGAGGAGGGGGGGGAGGAGCAGGAGCAGGGGGGACAACAGCTTCCTCTTGATGAAAATCCTCTTCAGATGAATCATCCGAGAGTAATGCATCAGCATGGCCTCCAAGAGATTGATTCAGCTGTAGGAGACTAGCCGTGGCTTCTATCTCCTGTGTATTCATTGCATACAGGGGGGAAGGAGCTGTTTGCTGCCGACGTTGGAAGAAGCAAGGCGTCGTAAAATAAGAGTCGCTACTGTAACACACTAGAACAATACTTCTACTGGGTCCTTTTCTATGGTTCAAGCAGTGTTAAATCGACAATTGAAGAGAGCTATCGATTGATACCAAGTACAGTGTAAAAGGTTGAGTGGAAGTGCTTGAAATGGAGCAATTCCCATGGTCGGTTGCTTTGAACCGAGTAGTTTTCTTTAGAATGAAAAGAACTGTTTAGAATCAGCGTGCGGGATCAGCACGCTGGAGGCAGGAAAAGGTCAAGACAGTAGGACACGGTACATTTTTGTACCTGCAATCAAAACCCTTCTATTTTGACCAAAATCGCAAGGCAAAGTACCTTGATCCACGATTTTCTACAGGATTTTCTACACAGCTTTGTACTAGGATCCATCCAAAAGACCAATCTCAGTTGCATCTTGGAAGCTGCTGAACAGCTGGTGGGCCTGCCGGTCTGTCCCCCACGGGGTATAGTACAGATTGTACGTAGGCCTACTTCACTAACGTCCGGAATGTTAACACTAACATTCGGAATGTTAACGCTAACATTCGGAACGTTAAATTAACGTTCCGAACGTCTTAATTAACAAAAGTTCAATTGTTATTTTACGCGTAGTAACTAGGACTTCTCCCATGTTTTTCTCCAAAAATTTTACCGTACCGATCGAACAAAATAATAATTCGTACCGTAATTCGATAGTTCGCAAACGGTAAAAAGCCTACCACGCCCTACATAGCAAAAAGGCATTCCTACTCAAACGCCAAAATTATTACTACTACTAGTCAAGTCGTGGTTAATTTTGAAGCCTAGTACTGATGCTTCATACTACTAGATCAACTAGTTTTTGGTCACTTTTTGACCCTTAACAGTGTAATACTAGGACATTTAGAACTGCTCTGGTGTGGCCTGAGAGCAGCTGTTCTTTGGGGAAAAGCTTCCTAGTAATACTAGTGTTCTTGGTGCTGGTGGTGGGAACAGGAGTGCCATGTGTACTACTAGTACTAATTGTTGTTAAACTAGTATTATACTACTACTAGTACTAGTAGTAGTTGGCCTTCAGGGAGTAGTAGGTTCTCCGCCCTTTAACAGCTTATGGCCAAAAATGGTGAGTGGAGACCAGCTGCTGGTTAGAAAATAGGCCAGAACTCTATCAAAAAACAACTCTAGTACTAGACCACCACCAGACTAATTGCCCAGTCCAAGTTGATATAGTAATTACGTCACATAGTAGTACTTATAGGTCCACCATGTCATTGGGAAGCCAAATGATGCTATAGTGGCGTAGAACTAGTCAGCCAATGTTACAGGTAGTGAGGGTTCAAAACAATTTTAGGGGTAATTTTATTAGGAACTAACTTTTATGGTACCATGATACTAGTAGTAGTAAACGATGACTATTACTATTACTAGTAGTAGTCTATTACTACTAGTAGTACTACTACTAGTACTAGTACTTCCATTTGTTGAAATGCTACATCTTCTTCTTCAACAAGTTCCCAAGTGCAACCAAGGTGAATAAATACTACTAGTAGTAGTAGTGCTATATTGCATGTAATATTTTTTAAATAACTTACAAGCACAGCTTGATTATGGTGGCTAAGTGGTTTAGCAATTGGTGCTGATGTCATTTAACTATTGAAAATTTCACAAACGGTTGAAAATAACTCAGTTTCAACCAGGTTCTGTACTACACTTCTACATGTAAATGATTATTTTTTAACCAGGGACCACACTCTCATGTCAGAGCCTATTCATTTATTGGCAGATAACCCTAACTATAGATGTGTATGTGCCATGTATATACTGTATATTACTACTAGTATGATATGACATGACGTGGTATTGCACCAATGCTGCCTTTAGGCAACACATGGTTAACTGCATACTAGTATTGTAAGCACTTAGTCAAATAATGAGCAGTAATGAGTGCTACTAGTAGTACTACTACTGTGCTTATCACGACTAGCCAGTAGCAATCTGGGTTAGCAACCACACTATTATTTGTTGATGTTCTTTTGCTCAAAGTAATGGAGAATGAAAAAATTGGTAGTGCCATAGCATATTCAGCACACCTTTTCTCTGCCACTACTAAAATGCACTAGAAACAATTAATTTAGAAATAGTTGATGGGAAGTGCTTCTTGTTCTTATAATACAAGTGATAATCAACACGAACATTCATTTCAAACAAGGAATGTGCAGAATAGCCTGTGACTTCGACCTTTTCCAAAACATTTATCTTCACTCTTCCTTCAACATGTGCTCCTCTAGTATCTGAGCAACAGAATGAAGCTGTGACTTCCTAATACACAAATTAGCAATATCAACAAGGGTTGGTCTAAATCGGTTGATTAAAGGCTTAAAAATAAGCTTTCAAAAATGATTATCATCATGTGAAGAGAAGAGCGCAGATACGGGTAACAATTGCTGGAGAAAAACTTCAGCTGTTCTGCTTTGCAAGGAAATCGATGATGCAGCGATTCACCTGCTCTTGTTCGAGCAAAAAGCCATCGTGTCCTTCATCGGAGTGAATTATTTCTAGCTTCGAATTAGGCATGTTCTGTACAAGTTCCTCTTGCTCAGACAGAGGGTACAGGACATCACTATCGATACCCAAAACACACGCCGGAATCTCAACGCGCTGGAGTACTTCTGCCACAGAGGACCCACGGCCTCGTGATACATCGTGAGAATCCATTTGCTCTGTCATTTTGACATATGTTATAGGGTCGAAACGCTCAATAAATTTAATCCCTTGGTATTCGAGATAGGACTTCACCTGCCATAAAGCGTTTGTTCCATAATGAATAGATTTGTTGGCATCGTCGTTGCGAATGTCCCTTCCGAATTTACTGCGATATCCATGAGCAGTCCTATAACTAATCATTCCCATTTGCCGTGCAACCTCGAGTCCTTTGGTTGCATTGAATGGATTGGAGTCCCATTCAGGATCGGCATATACTGCTTGACGCTGTACTTCGGATATAGCAATTTGCCATGCCGTATGCGATGCTCCACATGCGATTGGAATAACTGAGCGCACATATGGTGACCCTGAGGATAATGCATTAAGAAGATTAAAAACAAATTGTTCGTTATTTTGAAAAATGAATGGTTATGTGAAGCAACGCATTAGGGCCTTGTGCAATAGAAATCAGTTGTCCATTCTACCTCTCCCTTTCAGCACACAAGGGAACTCATTTTTACAACAGACCGATGAAATAAATAATATTCAAATCCATAAAGCGAAAATTTCTATTGTCTTACCATCATCTGAGACAAATTCTCCTCCCGATATACCGCCTTGAACCGCAAACTCCATGGTCTGCATACCTCCGAAGGAACCTCCTATCACACATTTTATCGACTTAGCACCAAGTTCTTCCTTCACAAGATTTAGCTGCAATTTGACTGTGTCTTTCACGGAAATATCGGGAAAGTCTTTTCCATATCGGGCGTTCGTTCTGGGGTTTGTTGATTGAGGATTGGTTGAACCGTAACAGCTCCCCAAAATATTACAACATACAATGAAGTATTTCGAAGTATCAAAAGCTTTGTCGTCACCAAGTAAACCGCCCCACCATGAATGCAAGCTCGCATTTCCTGTTAAAGCATGGCACACAACAATAACGTTATCTTTGGTCTCGTTGAGTTCTCCATACGTTTGGTATCGCAATTCGGCCTTCGGCAAAACGGTTCCATTCTCAAGGATGAAATCATTTTTGGTAAAGGTTTCTCCTTCGTCTGTCATTTCGCCATATTCGTCCTTCATTTCCTCCTCCCGTTGAGATAATTGTTGCAGGCTACTGCTTCGGAACTTTCGATGTTTCGGAGATACCATTATCTGAGATGTGGTCTGTGATAATACTGATGATGCTACTATTGGACGCGCCGAGCACAGTCTGGATATCCGAGAGATGGAGGAAGAATAAATTCCACCGGCACTAGAAGAGGAAGAGAGGTGTGCTATGGATCTAGTGCTAGCTACAGTACGCCGTAGCTGAACAGTGCAAGCCAGCATCCTTTTCGACGTGGAAAGAGTAACAGAAGGTAAAATCGAAGTCATGATTTTTGCGGTTCGAAAGAAAAAAGTTCGACAGAAACTTTGCGACCCTTCGGGAAAATCTTGTTTTGGCTTGTGCCTGACGAGTCGTGAAAGTGAATTGTCAACAATAGGACGGGGTCTATAAAATGGTTGATCTCAGTACTGATAAGTACTTCCAAATCCAACATCCGATGTGTTTTTGATGGGAGCTGGAACAAATGATGATCAAAGCGTAATTCTGTTCCTCCCATGGTAGAGTACTTGTACTGTAGATAGCCATTATTTTTAATATCAGCACCGTACCGTACAAAAAGTTCGTACTTGTACTTCTGTACCCTGCAGCCAGCCATCACATCAGACCTTCAAATATGAATTTATCTACTGATAGAAGGCCAGACAATCATTACAAATTTTTTGATGAAAGATGCTTTTCTAGTGAGTGATAATACTACTTATTACCGATTACCGATGTGTATCGTCCGTCCGGTACAGTACCTGGTACCAGTAGCGCTAAACTGTGCAACATAGTACTTCTACCTCGTACGTACGATACTCTTTGTCTTTATGCAGTACGTACTATGGTACGAGAGCCAAAATCAAAAATGACTATCCTGAGGATAGTCAAAAATCGACTGAGGATAGTATCCTCAGTCGATTGTTTGGTACAGTATGGTACCGTACAGTGCTGTACTTCTACATTTAAATGTACCGTACCATACGTACTTAGTTTTTGAGATCGAGTGAGATGCCGAAAAAAGTGAGGATACGAAATTGTACTTCACATACCGGTAGGTACGTCGAGGTACGTACGGTATGGTGCTCGTACTAATTCGTACAATACGTTTGGCATCCCAAATCCCAAGCCAAGGGTCGAATGAGTACATATTATGTACGATCCATATGAGTAGAACATTGCACTTCGAAATGCATCTACCATCTACTAGTATCGTACGGTATGTCCCATCTACCTGTACGTACGGGTACATGGTACGAGTAACGAGTATGCACTTCAGTGTCATACCCAGTACTCGTACATACGTACCCACTCGTTCAATCCATGGATAACATATTTCATTTAGCACGTCAATTGTCCATTCAACCAGCCCATAAGTGATCGGGATGTGTCTGACATAACAACATGGATATCATGTCCTACACAGCAAATATCTCCACCCAATCCATTGGCAACAGGGATGTGTCAAGTATGACAAACATAGTACAACATCATATTCATTGCAATACAATTAAAGAGTTCATCAGCGATTGTTATGTGTCGAGCATGACATACATGGATCGCATGTTTTACCGCGCCACTGAATTTCATCATCCCATTAATAATTGGAATATATCAAGTTTGACAAACGATGTCGCAGTAAAACAATATCCATGTCCGCTTGCTGTAGTTTTTTTTTTTTTTTTTTTTTGGTTCCCTATTGGGCACTTGGGCACATGTTCGTACGTTACGAAAACCACTTTTCTTCACGTTTCCTGCATAATACATTTGTGTGCAGGTTGGTTCGTTTGTTTCTCTGCTCAACTATTGCATGTGTGTGTCCGTGGTCGATCCGAGATGACTGCACGGGTATCCAACCTATAGACTAACCCTCATAATCACACCGTCGAAAATCTTGCTCGGAAGCTGAGCTGGACAACGTAGTTCGCATGGTACGGTAATCGTAGGGAAGGAGTCGAATATACCTCTAAAATATCATAAGGGCTGTGTGATCTACGGAATCTAAGGTGAAGTTTAAAACTAGATGTTTTCGGGAACAAATGAACTATCACTAGGCGGTGGTTCAAAAGATTTATCGTTTCGATTCGAACAGGTGAAGTGAAGGTCATTTTACCAAACCCTACCCTCGTCGATTTTGGTTCCTCCGCTTAGCTGGTCATCCCTCATATATTCCGATGCCACGACGATGTAATGGGCTGTATACCGAAAATAAGCTCGCATCGCTTCTTTTGTTTCTTCGATCATATCGATGTTGTTGTTGTAATGTTGCTCGCTTACTGAATTATTTTGATTTTGGCCGTATTTGCACGGGTTTGATGTCGTTTCCAAATATTTATGCTCGTTGATGGCGTCTTCCATGTGTTTGACCCAGAGATCCGCTGCTTCATGACTGATGGGATAATTCGCATGTCTGCCCGCTAAACGAGTATATTTGCCCTTTCCCTTTTGACGGTATAAGTCTGGACCCCCAAAAGTCTGAACAAAAAATCGATATTGATTATCGATGGCTTCGGCCTTAGTGCTGCTTGCAAATATGCTCAGGAACCAATCGTTTTCAGTGTCGTCAAAGACTCGGTCGTAAAACAGCGTTGACAGTTCTTCCATGCCTGACTCACGACCCAATCGTTCATAGAGCGAGGGGATCAATTTAGTAGCCTTGAGGGACTCTTCGTATGATACACCGCTCGCCTCGAAGGCTCTCCGCTGCAACTCTTGTTTGCTCATGAGCTTCAATTCCTCCTAAATGTATGTTTCTGTGCGTTTCATAGTTTATCATCATCGATTGCAAATTCGTCGTAGTGCCGTACAGTACGAAGCATTTCTGGTTGTTGATGGCGTCGATCTGCAAACGTGCCGCCGATTTCATGATGTGTCGATGGTGGATGGAACCGAATCCGATTCGTTTCCGTCAAATCTCGCGGTAGTTCAGTTTCCCAAACAAAAAGTACCGGTAGTACACAAAGTTCGAAGTACTGTAATCCCTATTATCTATGGTTCGTACGTACATAGGTACTCGTAGTATCCGAAATCCGAACGGAAATAATACGATTACCGTACAGTACCGTACTACTACTACCAGCCGGTATGTCTGACAAATTCAAAAATTTTTACTCCAAAACTCCAATAGAATATTTTACTTTCCCTTGCCCCCTTCAACAAACAACTCAAGGACGCGCAACCGATGTAAAGCCAAATCGTAATTATCGAAAGCTAGCAAGGGGCAATTGTATTAAGGATACATTAAGTTTGTAGAAAAACATGCTAGACAAAAATGCGACCATAAATCAGTGAAGCTCGGGCCCTGGGAATCTAAATTCTGCAGCGAAATAATTGACCTCGAACCTCAGTAGCCTACGGTATGAATAGCGCTAGGTACGTTCACCGTATGTAGACGAGCAGCTTTACGATTCACTAAGTAATTCCGAGAGACAACAACACACCGCACCGAATTTTCAAATCGTGTGAAGGGTCCCCCGCCCAGCTCGGAAATCGAGCGTGTTTCTACCGTACCGTAGATTTGAGATTCGGCCTCTAAAAAATTACGACCGTTACTTTTACTCGCGTTACGAAATCAGCCGCGATTGAGACAACGGCACTACTCCTGATTGTACAACTACTTCTCATTTCAAAATACAACTCCGAGAAAGAAACGAAGAGCACTTGCACAGTACGACTACACAATACAATAAGAACCACGCTCGGAGGACAAAGAAAGGAAAAATTGGAGATACGACAATTAACGATGGGAGCTGTTCTTGCGAAACTTTTGCAGGTCTTCTGGACAAAGAAACTCGACATCGTCGTCATTGGCCTTGAAAATAGGTATGTCTCATGACGTAATCTCTTGCTGTTTCTATTTTGTTCGACGCATCAATTTCTCTACGCTTCATTTATGATTAAATCGCAGCTCGCGTATTCATGATCTCTCTCCTTTTTCTTGCTCGTATTCCCCATTGCAATTGTGTTGATGGCTTCTGGATAATTGGTTGGATGCATGGTTCGCTTCCCTTTTATCAACAAATACAAACAAAACAAACAATGCGTTGCATACAAATGCACAATCTACGTTGGCTGAATTATACCCATACTTTTCACAGCGGAAAGACTACACTCCTGTCGGTGCTAGCACATGGCGAACCTGTAGAAACTGTGCCCACGATCGGACTCAATGTTAAAGTATTTAAAAAAGGACAAGTCAACATGAAGTGTTGGGACATTGGGGGCCAGGAGCAGTATAGAAGTGAGTGGTCCCGGTATACCAAGGGATGCGACGTTGTTCTTTATGTAGTGGATGCCGCCGCTCCGCAAAAGTTAGGGGCCGCAAAGAAGGAGCTTCACAAATTATTGGATGACGGAAGTATTGGTAGCACGCCCATGCTGGTCTGTGCCAACAAAATTGATTTGTCGCCTCACGTTGGAGAGGCGGAGCTCATTGACAAGCTGCAGCTCAATTACGTCATGGAGACTCCCTGGATGGTACTGCCCATTAGTGCTCTAAAATGTACCAATATTGAACAAGTGGTGGAATGGTTGACCTCACAGGGAAAATGATCATAGTTACTGTTGATTTCTCTGCTAACTTGCGGTTTAGCACACATCACTTACCATAGAATGAACGCATGAAAAAAACGTTAAAAAATCCTGATGCAACGACGAACAAATCCCCTTCCCGAATTCATGTGATCATTGTTCGCAATCAATGACACATTATTAATTGTTATCTAAAAAGTATGAGTATTCCCATCAAATATCTCATTTCTTCACTCTTCATAGTACACGATTGTTGGTTTGCAAGAAAACGGAAGAATATCAGAAGCGTCTGCCACATACGATAGCAACAGTGCCATTACTCATATCATTACTCACATGGAAACAACACTCCGCAGGTTTCGTGTAATATATCTAAAATACAACTCTATGTCTCGTACTTACGGATAAATTTCTCATTCCCTTGATATTGTTCATGACGAATGCTGTAAATTGCTATTGGGTTATCAAAGAAGGGGCGAGTCACTCATATCGCGCACAAAATGTAAGCAAAGTATGACGAATGAAGTCACAAGGGCTTGTTGGAATTTAATTATCGGAAGTGTCAATCTAATGTCCAGAATGAGTACTTACAGTACACGTACTTCCACTATACAAACAAACACCTGAGGCATTGAATGAAAATTTGAGATGTTCAAGAAGGTGATTAATTCTTTGGGTTTGACATTAATTTTTTGAGTTCTTGTTCACGATGAAATGGGGGCGATCGTCTAGAGAAACCACGGAGCTTCCTCTTCGATAACCTTTCTATCGAGTCGTTTTGTGGGGGCAATGACGAACTCCCGAGACCGCTCCCGATCGACTAGTGCTACGCGGCAGTCCAGTCGTACATGCCGAACAGGCCTACCATCTTTTGTGAGGACACAATCTCCATCAGCGTTGGGCGAGTCACAAAACTCGAGAGAGACATCGTCATCTGAGCAAAAGACCTTGACGCGACTTTCCGGGCCGCAGGCGCCTTGAACGGCACGTTCCGCAAGCATCTGCTGCCAAAATCGACCACCATTGGCATCGACCGCGAGATGAGCAGAAACTGACTGGAAGGCTCCATCAAGGATAGACTGAACACCTCGTTGGCCCCAGCAGCCAGCCCTCCAAACTACTGACCCATAACCATTTCGCTTCCCTAGATGCTCCATCACATCGATCGGGTTCCGACCATTCAAAGTTTCGACAACGACTCCAAATGACTGTAGTTGTTGTTTGCGTTCTAGCGTTTTGGATAGTTCTTCCTGAATCATCTCCGTGGCTTTCAGGGCCGCACTATGGTATTCCATGGCTGCTTCTGCCGCACTCTCAGCCTCACCCGTCTCGATGGCTTCTTTGGTGGCCAAAGCAGCCTTGGCAGCAGCCTCCGCTGCGACGGCGGCGGCCCGCGCTGCGCCTTCGGCCTGAGAACTTCGTCCTTTTCGTAACAATACTCTAGTAGGTTTGCGACCAGTGCCCCTCCAGAATTGCTCAACATCTACACCATCAGGAAGGTTTGGATCGTCATTGGATAAAGGTAGATTCTCCAAATCGGTAGCGTCTAGAACCAGGATCCGCTCGACACCCGGTGGGAGTTCCCTTCCAAAGGTCGAGAGCCATTTCAAGCCGTTTAGCCTAGACTTGATAGTATTATTCTCCTTCATGGGACCTATAAATCATTACATTCAAAGTAAATCAAAATCAAGCAAATATAGCAAATATTTCAGCCATTTCGTCGTTGTGGGACATAACGTCGAACCCGAAACGAAACATAAATTGTAGCACATGTACAAACGAAATTTTATAATGATACATACCATTGTTGCCCTCCCGAGGAAAAGTTCCAATTACAGCGTCGACTTGTGAATACCATGGCATGATTACGTTGCCACTATTAGATCGCTTTGTTTCTGCACTATCCCGGAAAAAGGAGTCAATATCATCGTCATCGCCATCAACCTGGATGTCGTCTTCAACCTCCAGTTCCGGAAAAAGATTTTCTTCCTCCTCACCTTCACCCTCTGCCCAAATTTGTTCGGGTGGGGGTGCCATTTCGTAGCTCCCAAAATCGCGAAATGAAAGGGTTTGCCCTCCAGATAATTTTCCGAAGGCGTTTCCGAGCTGAGCAAAAGCCTCAATGTCGTCACTATCGACAACACTACAATGCAGCAATCCATGAGGGCGTCCAGTGCGCGCCCGGTGTTTACGAGCCAAGATCTGAAGCTTCGAATTGGTCCGCTCAGCATAGGGTTCCACAAGCTCCCTGCACTCGGATTCGAGGACGCTACCCATGGAAACATCGAGTCCCGATTGCCGATGGAGGCTCTGGGAGCCCTGAGGAGAGATGAAGAAAACACAGAAGATGCGAAAGGTGAGAATGAAGTGAGAAAAAGGCGCGAACATTATGAGAACTGTTGTAATCGAACCGTCTAATCTATATAAGGGGTGCCTTTTTGACACCAATAATCCCTGGGCCTTTTTGAATTGGGATTGCAAACACAACGCTTTTTGCTGTTTTTTTTTTCAGCTTACCATTCCTGCTCGTTCTGGGACAGGATCTGGTGTGCCAATGACAACCCGTGAGACACCACTTAGCTCGATGAGCTGTGTCAATGGTGGCAAAGTTTCTCCCCGGCGGCTTGCAAGGGGTTCTAGGGTTACGTATAGGGTGGCCGAAGCCAAATCGTCACGGAGTTTCCAGCAGGCCGCCGCTTGGGCGGGCCACGTGACACACCACTCTCGCAATGGCATAACATCTAGCCCTGTCTGTTCCAGTGCATCTTGGATGGCATCGTTCTTGTATGAGGAGCAACCCAGACCTAAAACTTGCCCGTCCGAGGCGATTATCGCGCACCCAACAGTCGGCATCGGATAGGCACTGTTGTTACCCGCTGTTTGGGATTTGGCGTATTCGATGGCGAGCCGCATGTGACTCTCGTCGATTAGTAACTGTTCCTGATCTTCTTCTTCGGAAAAAGTTTTCTCGTTTTGTTCACTTGTTTCCTCACCAATCTCTTCCATGAAAGATTGCTCTTCGTCTTCGTCTTGTCTCTCAATCAACACTTCCGACTCCATGTCATCATAAGATCCTGCGCTAGCTGCACGCAGCTGTTGATGACGAATCTGGCTATGGTTCGAACAACGACCAGAGATATACATCCTAGTAGGTTTTAAAACTGTAGACTTCCGGAGTGGGGTCTTGGGAACAAACGACGAGGCCTGATTTAAAACAAGCAGCAGCGTTCCTACTCGAGCGACTGCCATAGCTGCCGAGTACAACATTGTTCTGGAATTTCCTTTCCTTTCTGTATGGTTACGAGCAACAGTTTGTATTATCGGTATTAAAGGTCAAACTAGCGCGTTTTGGTCAATGTCTATTCGAGATTCCCCTATCGTGCTGTTAGTTTCACTGTACAGTACGGTACCAGGTACTGTAATACAAAAGTGATCGATGGCGGATTAGAAAGGATTCTTTTGTGGTGCGAGGGACGAAAGAAGGATTCACTCTTGCGATGGTTGCAGGTTGATGGCCACTTCACCTTCTCTTCGGCTTCGTTGTGTCTTCGTGTCACCATTCACCATCTGGCCGTCTACACGTCTACAGGTCTGCACAGCATGTTGGTCGAGCAAGTCGAAAATCCAAAAATTGCGTACTATGAAGTGCTGTACTGTACTTCCTCAGGAAGTAGAAATAGTACGGTAGTACAAGACATTAGGTATTGTAAATTGTAAAGCAGCAGAATAAGACTTACGGTTACTAGTAAGTATGTACGTACCGTACGTACTCGGGGTACCGATATGTTGGAGCTAAGTTAGGCTCAAAAACAAGCCGGGGACCCTACCGGCCGGTACCGGTAAAGTCGTTCATGGCATGGAAAAATACAAAATACAAAATACAACATCACCCATCATTTTAAAATCCACACGGCACGGTATGGTACCTAGTCGTTCCTGTACCTCCGCTACCTGTACTGGTCCGAGTATTATCGTCACACCTTCATCATGGAAGCAAACAGCTCGAAGCAACGTGTGGTGCAAGAGTCTGATACTCGTAAGGAAGACGCATTCCAAAAGGAATCATTGGGATTTAGAGTATCGCACTGTCTTCTTACAATTCTTGATCAAAGCGCGAATGCGTAGATGAGAGCCCTGACGGCACTTGCCTGCGCACACATTTTAGAAATTCAATTGCTGCTTTCGCTATCCACAAGATTCAAACTAGGATCGGCGTTGCAACMAGCTAGACGACGGGGACGACGCAGACCTGGAATTTATTGGAAGGTTCACAATCCGTCGACTCGTCCGGCTATGTCATTGTGTGCGGCAAAAATGCCTCCCTCTTCTATCTCCAATGCTGCGTGTTCCAGTGAAAATGACAACCTTCTCACTCTGTTGTCGCTTCCAAAGAAATGGATTGATTTCGACACAAAAAAGGACCTGGTCCACCGTGTAGCCAACATAAGGCACTTCGAAACTTTGTTGGACGAATCCACAGAAGTTAGTTGGGACAATCCTACAAAAGAAAATCGGAATTCCACTTCAACCAAAGATTCTCCATTCGATACAGTCGTGGAAGTGGACAATCTAGATCCGAACGGACTGTTTGTATCCCTCGATCTTGATTTGAGTTGGGAGGAGACCAAAAAAGCGGAGCAGAAGAGTCGAGAAAAATATTCCCGGGATTTATCAATACATTTAAACCGCGAAGCAATGGAGAGTGCTCACCGTGCCATTCAGAGGTTGGAGATTTCGGTTTCCAAAAAGATAGAACCCAAAAGCAAAAAGAAAAGGAAAGTAAAGGCTCCGGCGAGTGCATTGCGAGACGGAACGAATCCTCTCCCAGCAACAGAGACCATTGTATCCCCTTCGAGATTGATTCAATATACTGATACCATCGAGAACGGAAACAATGATGACAATCATATTGAGGATATTGACACAAAAGAAATCACTACCATTGAATTATGTCGTCGTCTTCAGTCCTTACCCGAATCCAAGATTGGTTTGGATTTGTCAATACCTCTAAGGGATGAAATGAGTGCTGCCTGTATTGACGAAGCGCCATCTCATCCAGCTCGATTTCGTTGTCGAATACGGTCAAATCCACCTGTGATACTCGCGACGAGTACCTTCGAATCCTTTCGGAGCAAGCTCTTTGTAGGAATTCCTATCGTGGTGAACACCATACTTCTTCATGCGACACGAGCCGAGATATCTTGGTTTGTTCTTAATGGCGTCAACGAGAATGGGAAGGAAGCAGAGGAGCTAGTCCTTCGTGACAGTCCTTCTTTTATCCCAAAAGCTCATCACGTTGGAAAAAGACTCCTTGTGGTCGTTCGACCGTTGCGAGAATCCAAGACAAAAGGTGATTCTTATGGAAAAGCTGACGTCTATATCTTTCATAATGTTATTCAGGATTTTCCTCGGATGCCAATCGTGAGTCCACTTCGTGACGGCTTTATTAAAGGGGAAAAGGAAAGCGATCAGAAATCGATGGATACATTGCGAGTCTGCACCTACAACATTTTGGCGGATCTATACGTTTCTCGACAGGGTAATGGCCAGGATTCTCCGACAACATACTCGCATGTCAAGTATGAACATGTAGAGAAAGCACGACGAATTCCCATGATTGTAGGCGAACTAATGGCCTACCAAGCAGACATAATTTGCCTACAGGAAGTTGACGGATCTGTTTATGATGCTTTTTTGCAACCCGTCCTATTGACTCTAGGTTATGATGGGTATTACTCAAACAAGGCCTCTTCCCAGCGGGAGGGATGCGCCCTCTTTTGGTCCCGAAATGTTTTGGAGCTGTCGGAAGCCTCTTCTTTTCAGGTGAGGGATCTGTTTCGACCATCCTCAAGTAACAACGAAAAAGATAGGGGAGAATGGAAGTCGATGCGAGAAATTTACCAGTTGCTGAATTCTAACCGACAATTGAAAACAGTGGTCGTGGAAAAGTTGGGCCAAATCCTTCAAATTGCAACACTACGGCTAAAAAATTCGAGTCAAGAACATGCAAAAGAGATTGTGATTGGTAAGGGACACAATACTGGTGTTTTAATGTCTGTAACCTCAGGGAGAAGACCTTGATTAGCCCTTACTGTTCTTCCCATCTGCTCAACACAAGCGTCATTCTATGATTTTTTTCATTTTCATATCGGAATCCGCCGACTAGCAAATACACATCTCTTCTGGCACCCTATGGCGGATCATATTCGGGCAATGCAGGTGTACGTTGTTGCAAAGAAAATCGACGAGGTTCGTCGGAAAACTAACTTTGATAACTCGCTGAAAAAGAATCATCCTCCGCGTCCATTCCTCCTGTGTGGGGATCTGAATAGTGATCCGTTGTCCGGTGCTTCTCAGCTCCTTTGCTCTAGATCTCTCGCACCAGACCAACACGAATGTTGGAAGTACCTCCATAGATACAAATGGGATATAGATGATTGCGAGGTTGATGAAATGATGGAAGGTGGAACAAGTGGAGAAGAGCGCAGGGCCGAACATCGGGACGGCAGATGTGAACAAAGCATTTCATTCGCGAAGTCTTGCAATGCGTCTCCTCCCCACATTGATCTACCAGATTGTTTTCCTACTATCGTATCGGGCTGCAAAGAGAGTCCTCCTTTCACAAACTTTTCTCTCGATTTCGTTGATACATTGGACTACATCCTTGCTAGTAAAGCTTCTGAAACTGAGTTATTTGGATTCGTGCCAATGCGGTCCGCAGCAATGCCTTCTGTTCTTGATGTGAAAAAGTTCATTTCGATGGTAAGTACAAAAAGAACTCAACTCCATGTAGAACATTTTGGAATTCTCTTCAGTCTGTCAACGTTCAAAGTGATTTCTCACATTCCATCTGGTACTATAAATTGGATTATCACATTCAGCCGAATGAATTCATGCCAAGTGACCATGTTTCCATTGTCTGTGATTTTGACTTGATTCGGTACGATTAAAATTATGGCACAATAGTAAAATCGCTGCAACTACCAGAGACACTATGGATTACACAATTTCCCTGAAAATTGTTATAATCGTTGGAGGTCGACAATGCTACTTGGAAAGAATATTTGTTTCCTACCTAAAAGATTCACGTAAGAACTTACTTGGACCTGTTTAACCATCACAAATATGTGGTGCAACTTCATCCTGCTGTTCAGTTCTATGCACGAAAAATCCGAGACGGAGAAAATCGAGAACAGCAAAACTGATCACGCTTCGTAGCTTTATGGCGGAACGAATCAGAGTGTGCTACTGCATCTAATGAAGAAAAAGATGGTACTAGTGTCAATTACAATAATGTCTATTCATCATCGATCTATGAAAATCTTAGAATATGCATGGTACCACATGCGCGCACTATATGGCAGCACGGGTTTCGACATGCACATCCTTCTCTGGCCGCCTGGTGGTTCGCCGCAAGACACATCTTTGCTTTCGCTTCAGCTGAGGCTAGCTAATTACGGATGCCACACAGGAAGAGCTCCAGGGATGGCTTCATTGGCAACCCATGCAGCAATTGTCATCCTAATTTCGAATCGAACAGACAATAGAAAGGGATAAAACGATAAGAGAATTCACCAGCTTAAAACGTCTTCATGCATCCAACAACAGCCAACGTTGAAAATCAAATTTTGCCACAAGCAAGGCATACGAACTCCTGATACTCACATTGCAACTCGTCCATTCTTGATTTCTTTCATACGAAGGCTTTCAAAGTCTTTACCGGCAATACCTCCTTCCTTCTTGGTAAATCCCAGAGGATCGTATCCGTAATCACCGGGAATTTCTCGTCCCTCAGCCCACTGGCGGTTGTAAGCGATGCATTCAAACCATCCAGCGGCCAAAAAGATCTGAAACCAACCCTGAACAGGAACCATGTTAATGGCATCAAGAGGAGCAGCCTGGGCGATGTCCTGGAATGTAACGCCAGTGGTGGACGACAGCAGCCAGTTGGAGGCGGTCGAGTCTGGGCTGAAGGCATTCGATCCAGAGGGTCCCAAATATAGCGGAAAGTGAACCCCAAGCTTTTGTACCCAGAATCCAATGGTGGCTACCATAGCAATTCGGCCATGCTTAATTTCGGCGTTTTGGAACCACTTGATTCCATCAGGTCCGGCGTCTTCAAGGATTTTGCGACCAAGAGGTGGGACCTTATTTCCAGTTTCGATGCTCACACCGAAGGCATCGTCGACAAGGGCATTCATTGCGGTGCCTCTCTTCTGGGTTGCACTGGGAGCAAAGGCCGAGGCCGATGCGAGTAGCATTGATAGTGCGGCAAAAATCTTCATGATACTGTTGTTGCGTTCTTTGGTCAATGGGTCGAAGGTGATCTACCAGAAATATTCGATCACGTTTAATAGGATACAAATTTTAGACACCCTTGCTTTTTCTGCACGAAACGGTAGCAATACGGTCGAATTCGAAATGGCGATCTTTTTGAAGAAACAAGTTCAATCTTAGAGTCTTACCTAAGATATACTACTATGAAACATACCATGAAAAGGGAACAACCATAAGTACAGTAATCGTTTGAGGACAAAGAAACAAAAACTTATACGTACATCTAACAGGTACGAGTATCGTATCGCAAGGTACTATCGATAACCGAAACGCATATCTACGGCGGTACCGTACGGTACAAAACAACGAGGAAAACATGCACGTGTATTTACAAGTAGATGATGCTCGAGCTGGTTCGAACGTACGTTTGCTACGAATTGCTCTCTTGCTTACCTTAGGCAAAAACCAAAAACATTACTTTTTCCTCCTATGTACTGTACGTACAAGAGATACGAGTGCGATTACCCTACCACTCCGTCCACGTCCAATTAAAAAATAAAATTCAATTTTTGGATGTGATTGTGTGCGCTGTGCAAAGAGGCAATGCATGATTGCTTGTTCGTGTCAGGATACGAGTACGAGTACTTGTACCGTACTCCACTACCGTACGGTAATTCAGTTGTGTTAAAAGTCCCAGGATTGTATGAGAGCGAAGGTGAATTTCGCTTCCGATACGGAGAGACAACGACAAATCAATCCAAAACTTAATTCTGAAGGGCAACCAATAGATACGTAAATAAACAGTCGATAACTTCTCACAGCGAATCAATACTACAGCAAAAGAAAAGCAACGCCATGTCAGACGCGACGATCTCAAAAATCAAAGCGATCAAGGAGTCCATGTCAAAAAAGGTTGCCTCGGTAGAATCTCTATCGATCGAAGACGTGGAATCCCTCAGAGATATGCTTCTGCAACTCGATTCATTTGACGTAACTCTTGAAATCCTGACCACTACCCTGATTGGGACTGTCGTTTCAAAGTTTAAAAAGCACGCGGAAATTGGCCCCACAGTCAAAACCCTTGTCAAGAAATGGAAATCAATAGCGAAGGCCGGTGCAGCCACTTCGAGCGCACAGAGCAGGGACAGCAAGTCATTGTCCGCCAAAAAGACAGCCGAGTTATCCCAGAAAATCACAACGGATAAAGACATGAAGTCCAAACGGCGATCTAGAACCGATACAGCCACAGCTGAAACACGAGAAGCTTGGTATGGCCTCCAGCCCTACCGGCAAACAACCTGCCAAAAACTACACGACGTCCTCCATCTTGCAAAGCCGAAATTAATCAAACAGGGCATCAATGCCGATGCCGTAGATCACCTAACGGTAGAGAGGGCGACTGATGTTGAAGCTTCCATCCAAAAGAAATTCACTKGGCAGAAGCAAGAATACGTGCAAAAAGCTCGATCCCTCTGCTTCAATCTCAAAAAGAACACATCGCTGGCCAGTCAGGTTATTTTGGGGCAACTCTCTAGCTCAGAGCTCGTCGGTTTGACATCCGAACAATTGGTAAGCGATGAAAAGCGGAAGGAAATCGAAGCCCGTAAGAAAAACCTCATGGATTCCAACTTGCTCGACTGGGAGGCCCAAAACGAAGACAAGATCAATGAAATGTGTGGAATCAAAGGGGATCTACTCAAGGCCTCTTTGTTCACTTGTGGAAGATGCAAATCAACCAAGACCACGAGCACGCAAAAGCAAACGCGGTCGGCCGACGAACCTATGACGGTTTTCGTCTTGTGCCTCAATTGCAATAATCGATGGAAATTTTCTTAGTTCTGGCACATTAAATGGTCGCCTCAAGTTCAAAAGTCATCTGAAGCTCAAGTAAATTTGTCTTGTGGTAGAACGAAAATCCAATAAATTTGAATGGTGGGCCAGAGATTCTGTGCGTTCATCAATAAGAGGTGGGGTTTGACCTTTTGATATGACCACGACGATTCGATCTATTCTACTGTTTCGACAGGTGCGATTTGTAAGAATGCTTGGATCACTGCTTGAAATTCCTCTGTAAGAAAGGAAGAGTGTTTAATTGATATTAAATGTAACTAGTTGCAATGTTGAATAGTTTTCATCGTATTTTATCGTTGTGCACAAACACGCTACAACCTACGGGTCTTCCTAGAGACGGTTCCAATTTTCATTCATAGTTTACACTTGGTGCATTGAAATACAGAAAGCTCATGCATGATCCGAAAAAAATTAATCTAATTCCAAAACCTTGGAATCCAGGAATCTTTCGGCAGTAATTGCCAGTCCGGCTGCAACCACAGCTCCGTTAGCGAAAGTTTTCACCGTTTCCTGAAGGGAGGGATCATATAGTCGATCCGCAAATCCTGTGGTTACTCCGAGCATTGCCAAGATGAAGGCAAAGCGCGGCCGTTGCTTTTGCCAATATCGCTGGTGGTATCCCTCGGCAGCATAAAACTTGGTACGCGGGAAATCGATGCTTGTCCAGTCGTTTTTAAAACCATCCGAATCCCTTTCCCGGCTCGTTTCTTTCCAGTTCTGTGCTATTTCCAGTTGGTCGTCGTTGTGAGGAAAAATCACAGAGCTATACTGTCGGGATCCCGGTTGGGGCTTTTGAATTTCGAAAAAAACGTCGAGCAATTCAGCGTAGGAAATTTTGTCGGTGTCATACGTTACCCGGACACCCTCAACCCAATCTCGTCCGTAGCAGACTGACTCGTAAGACGGGATTGTTTTGGAGGGATCCTCATCGAATTTTTTGTTGCCCGTGTATCCGCTAACGGTGTCTACGATGCCATCAACCTTGAGCAATTCTTCTGCAGGTTCCCAGAAACAACCCATCCCAAAGGAGGCTTCCTCGATGGCTTGTAACAGAGTGTGCGAGTGTCTTGCACAATCGTTAGCATGAACCTTTGTGAATGGAATGAAAGCCATCGCGTTTCTAGAGGCTAGAAGTAGCACTATCGCGCAAGGTAGAAGGGAGAGACTCCATACCATCCTTTCAAAATGCAATCGAATACAGATAGTGCTACTTTCTAGTTGATCGAGATAATTCTAATAATTAGAAATATGTTTGTTGCACAGAAACAAGAAGTACAACTTCAATACGATTTTGCGCCTATTACTTGTGCGTACTCGTTCCGGTAGTCAGAGGGCAACGAAGCGAGAACAGAGAAATTGAGGGAAATTCAGATGTTATCGGAAAAGAAAATTGAAAATTGGCATAAAAATTGAAGATTTTTGAAGAGAGTTGCTGACTAGGCGCGACCTTGACAGGTGTTCATGGGTTGATCTTGCAGCATTTGGTTTTCGGCGCTAACTTTGATTTAGTGATAATATCAATATTTTGAGGGAATCAAGCAATATGATTGGCTGATTTGACAGATCAAAATTATCAAAAATGGTACAGCATGAGTTTTACCCCCTTGAAATCCAGTTTGACCCCATTGAAACCAATTTTCTCGATACAATTGGATTTCAAGGGGGAAAACTCGTGCTGTGCCATTTTCGACAATTTTGATCTTTCTGATCAGCCTATCAGATCCCTTGATCAATTATGGAATTATCCCTTGTTACTCCAAATTAGCGCCGACAACTAAATAAGATTGCATTTTTGTGCAAAACGAATACCTGTGGTTGTTCACTTCAACATGTACTTCTACTTAACTTCAGTACAATTCGATTTTGGAACATTTTCACCATTCAGCGATGATCATCAAACAGTCAAGGCTAGATATTACAACCCGAGGAGCTTTCTACACACAGCGCTCCACAATACTACTAGCTTGTGTGAGAAATATTGTTATCCCGAACACAAATAATGGTATCATTGAGTTTCAGCCACTGATGCTTCATCCAAACCTCCATAACTTACGAGCTCTCAAGTAACTACTAGCTATTAGATCTGAGGCAAGAAAAACTGGAAATAATGGATTCTTTTATTCAAGATGACTAGTGACATATTGATTTCTTGGTTTTCATGCTTTTAGCGCTACTCCAGCAATGAATTGCACACAATCTCTACAATGTGTAAATTTCATTTGAACCAAGTGGATTTTCCCATGAATTTGTGTTCTTTCAACGTTTTCGATCTTCCTTTATGTAGAGCCTCCATGTATAGCAATCTAAAACTCCACGCGAGCTTGCTTTAACCAGGCGATCCGAATCTGTACACCTCGCTGGGTGTAGCCTACCAGGGTCAAACCAGTTTTGGGCCACACGGGATCTTTGTTGTTCAAATTTTTCCCGTCAAATTTCAATTCCAACATAACACCCATAGCCAAGAGGCCCGCAAGGGGGTTTTCTATAGCCCACTCCTCTAAGGCTATTTTGCATCGACTCATAATTTCAGTGAAAATACCTCTACGTCGAAATTCTTCCTTGACAAGACATCGAAGCCACCCAACCTTGCAATATAAAGAACTGTTCATTTCGATGACAACGGTAGAGACGGCCACCACTTCGTCTCCGCTGAAAGCGACGACACAGAGGGCACCGAGGCGTTCGTTCTTCACTTTACATGGCATGGCGTCCCCAAATGTATCGTCCCACAGCTTCTTTGCTCCGATGCGGGCTTTGCCATCCATCTTTTGCCACACGTTTTCATATCGGATTTCTCCTGTATTTCCCACGGTTACGCTGTCGCTTTTGGCGAGTGCTCCGTGCGTGTTCACCGATGCCGTCTCTTCAAATGCAAGGCCCTCGATGGCGTTCAATAGGACGTTTGTGGCGTCGTGTTTTTCATCAGCGGCCTTACCGACATCGACGCCTGACATATTGAAGTCGTCGATTGGGAGTAACAGTAGTTGTATGCACAGACCCAAAGAGTGTTGAGTACTTTACGTTTAAGCAATACTCAGTCTTTTTGGGAATCCTTTAGTTGCGAAAGGGCCATTTTACAACCCCTAGAAAGGATCATGTTTCGGTTTATCCGTACCTTTAAACGTACAGGGGGTACAAGAGGGCTCAAACGAATGAAACATATCACGGTTGTTCATCGACTACATACGGTACGAGGTACCGGTTTGGTACGTACGGTACTACTAGTATCGTAGAATTTTCTGCCTGCGGAGGAGCCGGAGAACATCCTTCCCTGAATATGATTACTCGTACGTACCTACCGTAGGGTAACATAGTAGTATGCACAACACACAGAATGAAGAAGGAGAGTACGGACTTCACTCGTACTACTTCTACCGGTACGTATCTGTGTTTTTGTTTTTCCCTCTCATTCGTATTCGATATTACAGTATTATTCACCGGTTAACGATTGCTCGAGGATAGAAGTACGGTACGTACGGTATGGTACAGAACAATTAGTACGTCTTCGAAAACAACAAACACCCTCTTCCTCCGTAGTCGCAGCAGTCCTGCACTTCTTCGATTTTAGGCCCCTCTTGCCCCAGTGCTCGTACTTTGTGCTTTGTTCACCATTCGTCTCTGCAATACAATTAATTCGCAATTCTTTATCAGTGTCAGGAAACGGGAGACAAGAAAAGTTCAAAACAGTGTGCTGTTGATAAATTTGGAAATTCGAAAACATAGCGCGAGCATTCAGCACCCTCCTGACTGCAATAGCACGATTGACTTGCGGAATAGAACGGAACCGAAGGACCCGACTCACCGAGCGCGATAAAGGAAAAAAAAAAGTATCGTTTGCGTGAGATTGGTGAGGTAGAGAAGAAATCCTTCTAAAATACCAATACCAATATAACATTCGTCTCCTTTCTTCGTTATTGGTTCCTGTCGCCGTCAGTGCTTCTGTTCAGGTCTTGAAAGATCGTCGGCAACACAATTCAATTTTCATTTTTTGATTCGAATGAATACGAACTCCATTATCAAATACAATTTCAAAAACAAAGTTGACTGCAAATACTCACGTAGAGAACGACAAGCTTAGCAACCAAGGATCATCGGGCGAATCCATTCACCGTTGGAAAATGCAAGGAAAAGAACGACAAGTGATATCGACATCGACAGCACGGTCTTCCTCGATGAATTTCGCGAACAAGAGCAACACCAGCAATATCAATAATAAGGAAGTAATTTCGCCGAATCCTAGCATGGCAACGACTTCTCCCACCAATGGGTCGACAAAAATCTGTACCGGCAAAAGTGGTCATGATCGAACCAACAGTAGTAATTCAACACCATTACCAGTTGCCAACATTTATGTTGACTCAACAATACCCTTAACTCGATCTCGGACGGTTCCGAATGGAAAGGTAACACTGGGACAACAGCAGCTGCATCCACATCCACAGATTTTGGAAACATCTCCGTCTCGACAACCGGAAAGATGTTATAACAGTTCCGGAATCAACAACACGATTAATCACAGCGAAGGCATGATACCTGCTAGCGATTCAAATGATTGGCACCAGCAGCAAATAATTTCAAATTCGCCTTCTCGACAGCATCAGCATTTTTCTCAAGCCTTTCCTGACAGTCAAGAACAGGCTCTTTTTGAACAGCGACTGTGCGAGGATATCTACGGGGTGGCCGTACGAAAAATCAATCAAAATGGAAAATCAAATCTGCGCTATGTTAAGTGCTTGTACGTGGATAGCTCTGAAATTTTGCACAGCAGCAGCGACGATCCCTCCACTACCAACTTGAATGGCCCTCAAAACTTTTCTTCTTCCAGAAGCGTTTCAAGTCGGCATTCTCGGGGTTCACTGGGCGCTTTGTCTCGGTTTTTGAGTGGCGGTGGGAACCATTCCAGTGCTGCTGGCACTCCATCTGACCACGATGCCCACCGCAGTTTGCTCTCTTCTGGATCTCATCATCAGATACCCACGCACAACCAGAGTAAGAACAAGACCCGCGTTTTAGTATGGGGTAAGAAAAAGGATGTGGTGGTACCCTTGGATCACTTTACAGCCGTGCGGAAGGGAAAGGTCAACGAACGATCTAGGCGAAATCCTTGCGAGACATCTCGGATCCTTTCATTGGTGACAGTCGATATACACTCCGAAGATAGAAAAAATGCTGTTTCTTTAGATATTGAAGCTCCGACGCGCTTAGATCGAGACAAGTTTGCGACGGCTTTTTCGAGGTTTCTCAATGTTCCATTGTTAGAAGAGGGAGAGAGCATGAAATCACAACAGTTCACACCACGAACACCGAACACTTCCTTCCCGCACCAGCAATACAGCCACCATTCATTTTCTCAACAACAGCAACAGCAATTATTACCGCTCAATCAGGGAGCTGGTGGTGGGGATAGCAGTCGGAGCATTGCTCGGAGCATCAAGTCAGACTTGACGGCACAATCTTGGAAAGGTGACCCGCACAACAATTCCATTCCCGACATTGCGCTCACCGCTACCAACTCCCAAACAACCAATGGTAATGGAGGGAGCGTAAGATCAAGTAGCAACAAAAGGCAACAACAGCAAAACGCTCCCCTGCCGGTAGTGACGGCCCGTGTCGGTGGTGCACCTTTAACGAATGGCATAATCAGTAGCAAACCTCCCCGGAACAACATGCGAAGGAGTACTCCGCCTCCCATTCACCCTGGAACGAATCTCACTGCTCTCCAGAACAACAGCAATAGCAACTCTTCAAAGCACCAGCCGCAACAAAGTACTGCCAATGGGGGAAGCAGTCGCACCGGATCTGAAGTCGACGATCCTCCGCTGGCATCCTTACCGTCCTCCACACGTTCGCGAGGTGCCAACAACTGCAATAATGATAATGCTCACGACACCTATTTGAACACAATATCGTCCTCCGCTGCTACAAAGAGAGGGAAGATGGTTTTAGAAATCCCTATGGCGACGAAGTCAAAGCTTGTATCAAAGACCTCTTTGAACAACCAAAATCCTGCTGTGAGTACACCGACTACTACGGCGACCGGTGCTCACGTTAATTCCTCCAATACAACACTTCATACGCCCATTTCCACTACCCTGAGTACCGCGAACGCCAAAAATCATTACCACAACCAAGGAGAAGCCGCAATGAGTGACATGGATGACATGGATGGATCGATTGTCTCTTCAATTACCGGGGTCGGATTCGATCAAGACCTGGTTGAAGAATTGCATTTGGCCCTGGAACGAATGAGGGTAGAATTGGATGAATCTCGAGCAGAGGCTTCCCGTGCCGTCAAAGTTGCCGAACAGGCCATTCAAAGTGCTGAAAACAGCAACAGTAAGGATTGGAATAACACAGTCACCCACAAAGCCGCCGAGGCGGCGGCCACGGCTCAAAAAAGGTCAGCCGAAGCCATGGCAAAGGCCCGGATCGCTGAAGAACGCTTGGAAATGGAACGCAAAACCAGCGCCCTCCGCAAGAAGCAGATCAAGGAAGCGGAGCAAATGGTGGCTCATTGGCAAACGCGAGCGGTTGCTGCTGAGGTCCAGCGGTTTGCCGTTGCTGAAGCCTTAGAAACCGAGCGGAAAAGGATTCGGGAATTTGTGTTGCAGCAGCAACAGGAAGACCTTATTAATCAGCAACCGCCGAATACCTTCGTATCGTCTGAGCTGAATACTTCTGCAGGCAATGTGGGTACAACAGAGGAAGTCGATCGCCTTCGCTCCAATCTCGCCATGGAAAGTGCCAGGCGACGAAAATTACTCGACGAATTGCAAGATCTACGTGGTACTATCCGGGTCTACTGCCGGTTAGAGCGAGCTTCTTGTCACGATAGTAAACATTCAGCGACACTAGAAATGGTGTCAAACGAGATTCTTGTTCTTCATCAAAATTCTTCAGAAAAGGGACACAAGATATCTGACACGAATCAATCTCAGCTAAGCTTCGAATTCGATGGAATACTGTCCTCCGACATGAGTCATGAAGATGTATATGCCGAATTTGAAGCCGCTTGCGCAAGCGTGGTTGAAGGCTTCAAGATTTGTGTCATGACTTACGGTCAAGTAAATTCTGGAAAGACCCAAACTATGCTCGGTGACATCCGCCTCAATGCCGTAGACAGATCGGTCTCCATAGAAAACGAAGGAATCCATTTGCAAGCAATGAGACAGCTTTTTTCAATCCTGGAGCAAAGGCGCGATCGATTCCAGGACATTGTGACAATGAATCTAGTTGAGGTTCACGACGAACGGTTGACTGATCTCTTGGCCGGTACTAAGTTCGGTGAGGAACACGGAAAGGTCGAAGAGTCTCGAAAGAGCAAGCGACAGCAGCAGGATCTGAAACCAACAGGAACCGCAGAAGAGAAACAACAGCATCCCATGGGAGCTAACTCAGTCTCTTCATCGCGCCCCAAGCTAGAAATCAAGACTAACCGTGATGGAGAAACTGTTKTTCGTGGCATTCTTTCGGTCACAGTTGCATCCTATCAAGACGTTTTACGCGTGTGGACAGAGAGTTTGACCAGGCGAACTCGCCGGTTGACGGAACAAGACTTGGTAGATCATCGGGCGTACGAGCTTGATAGTCATGTTGTTGCATCCCTGAAGATTATTTCGAAGAATATTTGTTCGGGTGTAACGACGACAGGAAGGATGCAATTCGTGGACTTAGCCTCTTCAGAAATCGTGACCAACCGACCTTTTGGATCTATTGATGGCGTTTCTTCCTCGGCCACTTCCAAACGAAATTCTTCCTCCAGTCCATCTCCTGAGCAGCTTCGGGAAGACTGGAAGTTTAGTAACAAGTCGCTGAATACTTTTCGGGAAGTCGTCCTGGCACGGAATCAGTACCAGCGGGCTGTGCCGTATCGGAATTCTACTATCACACATATCCTAAGCGACAGTCTAGAAGCTGACACGAAGGTTGTTGTTATCGCCTGTGTAAATTCGAGAGACGAAGAACCCTCAACCACCGCATGCACACTCCAGTTTGCCCAAGAAATGCGTAAGGTTGTTGTCGGCAAAGCCACAAGGCACGCTACAATTGCTCCAGTTGGAACCAATATCAGCAATATAAAACCAAAATAGTGAGCAATTATTTGGTCAAGCACATGTTCAAATGTTCATTCAGATTCACCATTTTGCTTTATTATATATTTTCGATGTGTACGAGATTGCGATACAGCATTTCTACTGCTTTGACTTAGTGCATGCAGCCCCATCAATCTTCTTTGAGGATTATGAGTACCTAAACGCATATTTTTGTTAAAGAACGAACATACCGGTTCTAGTTGTATTGGATTAGATCGTTACTGGGTTCGTACTGTACTTGGTATACGGCCTTCAAAAAAATTCAAATTGCTGATTTCCCCGGTAGGAATACATATTTAAAAAACTTATTGAAAAGACGGAAAATGAAACATTATTCTTTTTAACATGCATTTAACGTTGATTTGTTTTTTCCAAGGAATAATTACTGAAGTGAATAAAGGAAAATTATTTGTAAGAACATCTTCGATCAAGGTATCTGTTCTACAGATATTCTCTTCAATTATGAATTCCATTTTCGTTTAGGGTGTACACCAAACATATTATGAATATCCGAGGGCTGTACCAGAGGTTATATTTTACAACCCTGGGCTATACTACACTCTTCGAATCCGCATTTCCTGCATGCAAACTAAAAAATTTTAATTCTGTGCGTTGACGAGCGTTTTGCGATCTAATCATGGTGAGAAGGGAAATATCCCTGGTCGATTCTAATCTCACCTCACCTCCACCTAACAAGCAATAAGTCAATAAATTATAAACCACGTGAAGTGCATAGGATTTCTCACTGCAAATAGTATGGATTCAACGGAAGAGATGGCGCCGGTCACGGAAACTGAAGTCACTTGCGATTATTTAATTGTTGGTGCCGGAACGGCTTGCCTTTCTTTTGTCGATACGCTCCTAGATTTGCGGAATGACATCACCTTTGTGATCGTCGATCGAAATTCCGATCCTGGCGGTCACTGGACCAAGGCATATCCATTTGTTCGTCTACACCAGCCATCCTGCAGCTACGGGGTCAGGAGCTTACCTCTCGGAAAGCTGGACAAGAATGGCAAGGAAGTCTACGACACCGATGAACGTGCCACGGCGAAGGAAATTTGCGAATATTACGAGAAGGTTGTCAAGAATCTCGTAGCCACCGGGCGAGTGCGAACTTATTTCAACTCAAACTACGAAGGCGAGGCAACGGACACTGATGGTTCCATATCCAAAATTCATTCCGATCCAGCTTCAAAGGTCACTCACATCATCAGAAATCAGAATGGGGTCCTGATCCATGTCAAATGCACGAAATTGGTACGAAGCGAATCAAACGTGATTGTTCCCTCGATGAGAACTGGAGTCCCCTTTCCAGTCGATAAATCTGTAGTTAATACTATTCCTTTGAATGAGCTTCCGAAATATATTGGAAAGACACAGCAAAAATACCTGGTCATTGGTGCCGGAAAATCCGGCATCGACGCACTTATCTATTTACTGGAGGATGCCAAGGTAGATCCTGATCAAATCACATGGATTGTTTCTCAATCAGCATGGTACTTTATGCGTGATGGGATAGCACTGACTCCCAAACCTGGTAAAAGTTTTTGGAAAAACGCCACAAAGGTCTTCTTTGAACCTCTTGGAGCAGCTAAATCGGCTGATGAGGCTTTTTTGTTAATGGAAAAGGCTGGGAGTCTCGGACGAGTTCATCCAGACGACGGTCATTTCCCACGGGTATTTAGGGGTGCCAACATGACTTACACTGATCTGGCAAACCTTCGGAGAATCAAAAACGTTTTGAAGAATATGGGGAGGGTAACCTCAATAACTTCAAACGAGATCATCTTTCAGAACGGGGCGCATTCGGTCCCCTTTTCTCCTATTGATACGTTGGTCGTGGACTGTATGACAGAGGACACATATGGTTACTTTAGCTTTGAGGAGGACTTTCAGTTCTTTAATCCCCACAAGATAAGACTCGGACCCGCGGTTGCGATTTTCAATCCATCACATACCTCTACAATGATTGCATTTTTGGAAGCAGAATTTTCTGACAGTGCAGCCGGAGACGCAGTGAAAAATTCCTTTTGCTGTTTTCCTCGAGGCCGTGAATTGAAAAAGAACTCAACCCAACAACTACTCATGTTGTATTTTTACTATGAATCAAAAACCAATCTGAACTTTGGCAAGTACAAGCCTTATTCAAGATTTGTTTTGGGTGATCGAACAGACATGTTTCAACCCGACCACCACGGTGGCCTCCTAGGCCTCTTGTGGGCCTTCTTTGGACCGACAAAACTGCACAAGAAGACAGAAACGTTTGTTGAACGAATGGAAAACGGCAGTTTGGAAGACTTTCCAATTGGCACGCTGACGGGAGCGAACGAGGTTGACCCCGAAAAATTTAAGGCTGTCAAGAGAAAAATACCGAAGGTAGCCAGTTCAAAATCCACGACCGCAAACGCCAAGAAGAGTATCGATAATGGAGATCTCCCGAAAAAGAAGAAGGGGCTGGGTAGCTTATTTTGCTGCAGGACAGCTGACGGGATTCAGACAAATATGCACTACTTATTCCTATGATGATATATCATTTAATTGTTCGTTTGCTGGATGCATCGATAATCTCATACTATATATATCAAAATTGAAAGGGATCCTTCAAGACGCTCGACATAAATTGAGCCATCAAGTTTTTTGCTTTCTTCTTTCTACCTTGCTTGCAAATGCACTCTTCTTTTGAAGATTGCTCGTTGCTGGACTCGTATTTATATTTGAAAGGCAGTGCAACGGCTTCATACTATTCAACACGTTGAGGATTTCACAATGGATTTGTTTTCATTAGAACCATTTAGGTCGTAGACTTTTTCATAGGATACAACAGCTGTGATCTAGCTGGCATTGTCATGGGCAGTTAGTGTTCTTCTTTCAGTTTCGCTCTGACTTCCGTGGCTGCTTCGTGGATTCGCTCTACTATTTTGGACCAAGTTGCCTTGTTGATCATGGCCGTCGGTAGTCCTTCATATTCACAGACAACCGCACCGACCCCTGTTGCGATGGACGCAGCTATATTTAATGGAACACTGTTTCCTAACAGAGCCGTCATGGCCGCCGAGTAGGCGTTTCCAGCACCAGTGGGATCGATGGGTTCGCCATTTTTGGTGGAGAGGGCCGCTGCAGGGATCGTAATATCCCTGCTGCTGCCGTCTCCAAACGGGTACCAGATTTGGCTTCCACGAGGACCGTCCCTCGTTGAAACTAGGATAGATGTGGATTCCTTGTCCTTTCCGCCATTCTTGTGGAAAGTGTCGTAGATGTTGTGCTTCCTCATGGCCTGATCAAGCGCGTAGTCGGGGCACCAGAAGACCGAATCTAACGAGCTCGTTTTCTTCCAGGAGCCCTCTAGAATAGTTCCTGCTGACAACGCATCCTCCTCTTCAATAGATTCGCCACTTGCAACGGGTTCGATTCCTAGAAACGAAAGGTGACTTTCCACTAGCGTTGGATCGGTGATCAGTGGCAGGCAATCCAATTGACCACCGGCAGCATCTTTTCCAGCCTCGGCAATGACATGGAGTATTATGCCATCGCACTCACTGCAATTTTCGGTAGACAACACTGAAACCAAATCCTCTGCCGATGGTCTGTTTCTCCATAATCCATCGGCACCCTTCGGACCAAAGGAGTCGTTGATGGCATACCAGTGAACCACCTGGTCTTGGTCATGCCATAGCCGTATCCTTGGGGTTATACTATCTTCACTTTGAATCAAGTGTGTAACGATATTATTGTTCTGACCTTGCGAAGTAATAGAAGCCGGGGTAATGCATTCTTTACAATCGCCACCACTACTGCTTCTACTGGTGGTTGTATTTAGGGCTGACAACAATGCTATCGTCTCCGACTTCGTCCAATCTTTGCCAACTGGCGCCAGGAATAGGACAGGTGGTATCGGTTGTTGGCAAGAAGGAGTCAATTTCATTGAGCTGACACTGGAGTTCTTATCACCTATGCCATTCACATGATATGAATCCCAAACAGCAAGGGCTGCAGCGGCACCAAACGCAGCTTGGGGACCACCTCCACCGATGCTTATGGATAGTGGCGAAGCTTCTGTTTCTCGCGGTTCATAACTGCTCTGATCACCATGTTTGTTTATTGTGTTCTTCTCGCCAGAAGACGGATAAGGATCGCCGTATTCGTCAATAATAATCTTCCCAACGACCACTACTGGTTTGTACTTTTGGTTTGCATTGTTGCCATGGTCCGGATTGTTACGTCCTCGTCTTGCAGCCGTGGATAGTGAAAATGCGTGAGCAAGATTGCCGTATAGACCTTTGAAGATGAATAAGCCAAAGAATAAAAAGGTTATGATCTGGAATGCCAGGAGGTTCATATTTCTTTCTTTCTTCCCCTTCCAGCTTTTCGACAAGCAGTGTGCCGGTAAAGGATCGAACCAGTTTGTGGTTTTCGTTTGTTTTCGTTGTCTAGAGATGGGCCTGAATTCTGTGCGTAGTGTTTAGTACGAAGTACCACCAGAAAATCCGTGAAGGGCGCTATTTTTTAGAGATCAAAAAGTACGGTACGTACTTCCTGAAGTACGAAGTACGAACGTACTGTACCATACATGCGGAGGTACAGGTACGAAAGATCTGTATCTTGAAATATTATTCGTATCATAATACCATATGATTATTACAGTAACTTCATACGATACAAGAAAGTTCTCTGTCTTTGCAAAAACCGACACTACCGTACAGTATGGTATCATCTTATGGATAATAAACTACAAGGATACGATAATATGATGACATCGTACCCTGTTTCAAATTCCACGTGTCTTTTTCTTCTGAGCGTTTCTGCGTCGTACGGTATCTTGAATGTGTTTCAGTTTGGACCGCTTGGGTGTCAAAATTCGGTACATGCGCTGCTGCGCTTCGACTTTCGTCCGTCGAGGAGAGAGAAAAGGGGATCATTCTGTATTCTGTCCGGTTCACGCCAAAATAGCATCGTTTCAACATCAAATTTTACATCGAGAGACGGAGAAGAAGAAGAATCGCGTCTCAGATTATTGATAACCGCTCGGCCAGGTCCAACCAGATGTAAGTTGCTTTACCGAGTTGACACCCGGAATTGCATCCGAACGACACATTTATTCATTGTACCTGGAACACAAAACCAATTTTAGCAAGTCCTCACTTGTTATATTGTCACTTTGTATTTATTCAATCTCTATTGTTCTATTTGAAAACCCTGGTTATAATTTCATCAATAACGTGAACACCGTGTCCCGTACGCTACTTCTTCAACACACGATCGATATATCTCTCCATGTCCCTCCCAACATCGACCCGTTTTCGCTCGATAATATCCTTCCTCCTTCTACTGCTCCTTTCTGGTTCCCAAAGCAATCAATCCAATTTGGTTGAAGCTCGATCCGCTCGATCTGCCGCATCCCTCCTCTACACATCATCTGCATCCATAGCGGCCCCAACGTCGCAAACGGGCTCCACAATACTGCCGTCTACCGTCGAGTAAGTATTCTGAATTCGAATTCGAATTCCTTATAGTGAAGTTGAATGGAACTGGCAACGGTCGACACACGCATACAGACAAATGCAATGCATTTCTCTCTTGTTTGAACCAATTACCAAACTGCGCTCGACCGACTTGCGATGCCACAAGAACAGAGCTGTCCTGTCTCATTTGACTCACGCTCTCTTCTTCCTCACCTGATGCAACACAAATTCTCACGACTTGATAAACAGAGCTCAAGGAAGTCCCGTATCCGTCGAAACGCCTTCCAATACAGTCACTGCAATCATGGGTGGTGATTCCTCCGTTTCGGCACCGACCGACAAGACCGGCCTTCCCGACAGCGTAAAGCTGCTCATCGGCGCCGGCGGTATTTATGCCGCCTTTTTGTATTATGGATCCCTGCAGGAAGATGTATTTCGCTATGTTTCTCCTGATGKGAATTCCTTTAAGCAAGCATGGTTTCTTCAGGTAATGGAGGCGCTCGCAAACGTCATTGTTGGATTTTTGGGCATGCAGTTGACCGGACCCACCAAAGGAATCCCTCTTCGAATGTTTGGAATCAGCGGGGCCGCTCAGGTGTCTGCGAAGGCTTGCACTAGCTTGGCATTGGCCAATGGCCTTTCCTTTCCGGTCGCCACCCTTGCCAAGTCCGGAAAGATGGCACCGGTCATGGCTGGGTCTCTTTTGTTGGGAGGGGCGACCTACAGTATCCGAGAGTATCTGCAGGTTGCAGCTATCATTGGAGGAACCGCCATTGTCTCAATGGGTAAAAAGAAAGGACCTGGCGGAGACAACTCGTTGATGGGTGTCTTTTACATTGTCTTGTCTCTGGTATTGGACGGCGTAACAGCCGGATTCCAGAAACGCCTCAAAACAGAAACTGCAAAGGTTGGTGTCAAGCCCAAGCCATATGATTTCATGTTTTGGACGAACCTCTTTATGTGCTTGACAGCCGTCGTCATTGCTGGACTTTGTGGAGAAATTGCAACCGGGGGAGCCTTTTTATTGGCAAATCCAGAAATCATGTCAAAGATTGCTCGATTTGCTCTCTGCTCCGCCGTCGGCCAGTCCTTTATTTTCTACACGATCGCCAACTTCGATCCTCTCATCCTTTCGACGGTAACCACAACGCGCAAGATTTTCTCTGTCTTGCTGTCTATCTTCCTCAAGGGGCATTCGCTCTCGCTGACGGGATGGTCCGGTATTGGTTTGTCCGTAAGCGGAATATTGTCGGAACTCCAGGCCAAAACGGCGTCCAAAAAATCCAAGTCGAAATAAGAATGTAACGAAACTCAACTAACAACCATTTGTTGAACGAAGAAATATCGAAGAGCCTCAGGGTGCGTCGTGTTCTAATTAGAAAATATAGATAGTGAATGGTAAAGACCAATACCCTGGTGCGAATACAAACGAAAACCAACTAAAATCTATTCGCGAACTATGTTGCAACTATTGAAATACTTTGGACTCCGTATTAGCGCCATCTCTGACGAAGAATTACTGCCAGTACAACTTTTGAACCATCCACCACCAAGATCATATCATCATCATAGATGATCATTGGAGAAAAGTTATCCTCTGGTTGCTCAATTAAAACTTGGCCTTCTTTTGTTTTGTAGTTTTCTTTCCACGAAAAAAAAAATGCAATAAAAATGATTTCTTTTATTCCTGAGCATAACATACCCAGTACTTTGTCGTAGTGTTGCGTTCCATTAGGGCAACTAAAAATTCACTGCGAGGAATACATTTAGTTTTGGAAGGATAGAGATAATGAACATGAGCATTGATTTCTATCCTTACTTGGGTCGTCAAAACAAAATTTGTTACTACGGTTCTACCACCATTCGACGCTATGAAACATTTGAAGTAAAGGAAAACATCAATTGCGATTCACAGGCATGATTTGTTCTTTGTTCTATCTATTCTAGCATTTCAATTGGATTTAGCTGAAAAATATTTTTTTCGCCGTCGATGCCAAGTGATGATTCCCCTCCAACCGATATCAACTCACGGAATATTCCTGGCAATTCGCCAAGCTTTTTGTCTTCCTCCAAGACCAGGATGGCGGCAGTGAATATCCCTGTTTCTTCGGCTTGAACCCTGAGGTCAAGAGCTTCCCGGCACCGACTCACCAGGGTGGGGTCCGTGGCCTTGGAGATTGAGTCACTGCTTCCTTTTTTGAGAATGGCACACAAGACTTCCTCCTCACCACTAGCTACCAGAGCCACTGAAACAGGAATGACTGCACAAGATGAACGATCTACAACCCCGCCAGCGGCCAACGCGTTGGACAGGTCCCAGCCTTCCGACAGCACCTTCGCATAAACTTCCCTTGCCAGAAGCGCTGCCGATCTAGTCACTGCCCTTGAATGAGACTGTAGCTGGAGAGCATCGACAACTAGACGGACAATCGCTTTTAGGAAAGGCGCAAAGGCTGCCGACGAAGACTCGGCCAAGAGTTCCGATAAAATCGAGATCCGCAGGGACCGCACAACCTCTGTTTCCTCTACATCAAAAACAGGGCCGCCCGTCTTTAGGAGCACATCCCTCTCTTCCCACAACTCTTTTTGGTTCAACTCGTCGTCGCTAACACTGGTTTCAAAGTATTTGGCTGTTTCTCTGTGTATCAATTTCTTTTCTTTTTCAGTAATGCGGGCAGCTTTCACAGCTTCGTCCTTCTCGATTATTGCCGTTCCATGGAGCATCAGGTTGACTATAATTGGAACGTACTCATCAGTAACGGCCCTTCTGCGAATAATAAAAATGAGCGCTTCGGTCAACTTGATGATTTGCTCTTGTGACAAACGAATTGGTGTTGCATTGATGCTATTTTTTGATACTGAAAGAGAATCAAGCTCCCCTACGACAATTGCGGAGGCAATGAGCGGAAGAATATGCCGGGGGCACAGGTCACCGACCGCAACGATGGTCTGCACCGCGGCCAGATAGACATATGATTCGGAGTCACCAAGGGCGATCATTGACAAACGTAGGACTTCGTATACCCAGAAATCATGCGCCCTGTCGCCCCCCAACACTTCTCCGGCTTCATCGAGCTCCATGACTAGCTTCGGAATCGTCTGTGTACTCGACAGTGTTCCTGCAAAACCACGAGCCAGTTTTCCTAGCGAAACCATTCCTCTCGCTCGTATTGGCGGTTGCGTAGATCCGAGGTCCGCCTCGGCATCCTTCAGAATATTTCGCAGACGGTCCTCCTTTGAATGGGAAAGGATTTTTTGGGTCGTTGTGTCCATGTCCCCTTCTTGGAGCTCAGAATTGTTTGATCCACGGCAAGCAATCATTGCCATGGCGTATGCCGCCATATCGGCCATTGCTGCATACTCGCGCATCTCGTCTTTGTTGTTTCGGTCATGTTTATCAATTGGAAGCGACAATGGTTTGAGTATTGGAAGAAAGGACCGAAGAAGTTCTTCTTCCTCCAAAGACCAAAGTTTTGAACCGAGTTCCATTACAGCGATTAGCATGCTCAAAAGGATGGATGCTATGGATTTCAAGAATTCGTATCGATTGGTGTACTCTTCGTTACTTTTCTCGTCGGTTCCAGTACTGGCGCACAGATCAGAAGGTGCTGCTGCTAATTTTGACAATACTTCTCGTATAAGACTAACCAGTCCGATCATATTTTCTCGGTTCTCTCCAAACAACAGTTGCTCTTGTGGGCATTTCTCGCACAAAATGGGCAAGAGAATGGTAGCAACTAATCTCGATGTTGCGCTGCTGCTGCTCATGCCAGTGTGGTGTTTCTCTTCGCACGAGATGTATTCACGCAGAAGCAATCTAAATATTCTTGATGGCAGCCCCTGTGATAGCGGCGTAGACTGACTGGGTTTCATTTTGGCGTCACTATTGTCAGTGCATTTGATTGAAGTATTGGGTGCCAAGACGACAAGCACATTGTTTACGAAAAACTCTGCGCGCTCGGTAGTGGATTCAACCAACGCAGCAAAGTCTTCAATCTCGCTTCGATCTTCTAACCGATGGTGGTGTTTTATTTCTAAGAATTCTGCACCGATGCCGCTATTCAACGCCTTTGGTGCACGAGTTGTGCGAACGAACCGGAAGCCTTCCAAGTCCCATTCTGTGGGTACCAGCGCAGAAATCCATGCATCTACGATGCGGTCTCGAAATTTCTCATCGTCGCCGTAAAGGGCTTGTGTGAGCCACAGAAGGGTCCACTCGGCATCTTTGGAAGCCGACGGGCTTGTTTCTCCCAATGAAGGGGAGGTGAGCATTGCCACGCGAAGGATTTGCCCTAAAATATTGCAATTGCTCTTATCATTTTTGTTATCACAGCTCGAGATTGAAATTTTGTTGGGAAAAGAGTTCCTGTCCAGAAACATTTGTTGCAATATCCTGAGAGCAGAACTTGAATGGGGAGGTACAAACGCGCAAAGCGCACCGATTTGTCGAATACTCTGATGTATAAATGTTCCTTGGATGCTGTTTCCACATGTCATATTCACCCTCATGTCATCACTGTAAAACAATCGATTTGCCCATGCCCCCAAGATGTGATCGTCGATCACTTGTTGTGACAGTTGTTCCAACACGGCCCAAGCAGTTTGAATCACTGCCATGGAACGAGGTGGGATGACCATGTTCCTACTCATAGTACTCGTTCCAGCGGTCTCGGTTATCACTGGAAAGGCACTTGTGAGCAAAGCTAAAAGTTGATGACAAAGACTCCCTTGCATTGCCCCCTTTTCCCTTTGTTCTTGTTCGTTCGATGACGAAGAAAACGAAGTCATAGCTACCAAAGTTCGACCCAACCGCTTTGCAGCGCCGCTTATCAATGAGGTTTGATCGTTTGATGAAGAAACCACCGGCACAAAAACGGTGACGATTGCTGCCAGTCCCCGAACATCACGTGTGGCCAATTCCGTCAGGAGTGCCGAGATACGCCTTCGAAGCCACGTGTTTTGGCTTTTTGTACCTTGTGATAGCGAACACGATGGCGATAGCAATGTTTGGTAGGCTGAAGCTCGAACGGTTGGATCGACTACAGCAGCTGTTATCTTTGTCCTACCTTCTGTAGACGGCGGACACGAGAATGATGGCAGCGACAATCCCAAAACCCGATAAAATTCTGTATCAACAATATTCTTTTTGTGCATGCTGTTTTTTTGCCCTGCGTTGTCTGTAGTCACATCCTCGCTCGATTCCCTTTGGCTGGTGCGCCCTTGCTTTGACCCGATCCCGTTGGCCGCATGAAATTCCGCCCAAAAGATCGCTTCGTAGAGATCGACCACGTGCCTCGGAAATAACATTGGTCGGAAGCGATCCAACAAAACCAACTTTGCCACTGTTTCGGTGGTATGAACAAGAAGTGACAAGTCATTGGATGCTCTCTTCGACATCGATGATCTTGACAACGATGGCAAAAGTATCCCCCACCGCAGAGCGTTTTTGGGTATCCGCCCCGCCAATGATTTTGGCAACTTTGTTCGTATTCGTTCCTCGATGATAGAGGAAGACGTGGGTGTTGTCGCTTGGTTCTTGTTGGTACACTCTGTACCCATCGATCCCGATTCCCATTTTAATTCGTCGAAGGAGGGAAGTATTCCGGTACACACCATGAATTCGAGCAAGCAAGCCACGTCAGTATAGTCTTGAATGGATAACATTCCTCGGGGTGGTTTTGGGCGGTTTCTGTTGTTCCGATGACGAGCCTTCGGAATAGAACTCGGCTTCTTTGGGTCATTGGAGTGCACTTGTGGTTTCTCGTCTGGGAGAGCGTCCAATACATTGTAACACCTGGCCAACACTTCAGCGAGAGGCAGTGCAACTTCCAGCATGATGCTGTGGCGCTCTCGCCGAAACGAGTCGCTTTGGCCTTCCCTAATATCTTCGTTCTCTTCGTGCTTGCTATCGCAATCGATACACTCCTTCTTCTGATCTACTGGCTTTAGTGATGGCGACATTTCTATTTGTTCTCGGAGGCAAATTGCGCGAACTTGTTCGACAATACCGCGTTCTTTCATTCTTGTGTAGAGAGGTATCATCGTTGGCCGCAGTTTTGTTGGAAGTCGTGCATCGGCCTGGAACTCGATCCGCAAAGCTTCTACAAAAGCCCTCACAGCCGACACAGTATCCGACGCCAAGTGTTCAACAGTAGAAGCATGCGCATTGGAGGAGAAACTACTGTCGGTGTTGGCATCGTTGCCGACTGCCGACTCTAAATCCGATGATTTCATTTTGTTTGGTTGAGCGTCGCTTTCGTCATCAACCTTGTTGCTGCTACTGCTGCTAATGGTATTGCTACTGCTGCTGATTATAGGGAAGTGGTTGCGATCCGGTCGAAATTTTCCCTCTACCATCTACCGCACGTATTCCTGCTGCTCAGATCGTTCGATGAGGTGACAAATAATCACAATTGTAATGATTGTGTTGGTGGTGATTGTAACGGTAATCGTACGGTACGATTAGAATCATGAGCTCTGGTGCGACTTTGAGTATCAGTTCGAATCAGTTCGAACTTTACGTAGCGTAGGGTACTGTTCCTGGTACTGGTAGAACTCGTACATGACTGGAGAGACGGAACTTGGGTTTTATTTTCCCGCCATATCGTCTGTCCGTATCACAAGCAATAGGATTTTGGAGGGTAATACATAGTACATAGTACATACATACATATTACTGTAATACTGTGCCGCAGGGGATTTCGTACGTTTATTTCACTCAAGGCTGTTCGCTCACGCTAACAGCCTACGTAACGAGTCCCTTGTTGAGTTTCCCGGATCCACTGGTTCTAGCTAGGATAGATGAGGCTGGTGGGTTAAGCAGGTGTTAAGGGAATCCAGAGTAGTAACCCTAACCCTTTTGTCCCGTGAGAGGGGAGGGGGATTAGGGTTAGTACTGTGGAACCCGGAGCYGCCTGCTGATCCCCCCACCGGCTTACGTATACTGTTAGTACCAGCTGCCATTGTGCCAGTAGGCGACAGGGAGGGAGCAAAGCGAGGGTGGGAGTATGCAGCGACTGGTGAGCAAGAGAGAAGACGGCGGAAGGCGGCGGCGGTGAAGGGAGGCGCCCGAACCGCGACGGAAGGAGCGGCAAATTAGGTCGCCGGAGCCGCAGGAACGGATTCTTCAGGGAGGAAGCTGTAGGTGCCGTTGTTGAACATTAATGTTGCCAGGTTCCGGAACAAGGGTACCGATTGTTGATGAAGGTACCTCATCATGGCATCACTATGCCAGYGCGCTAGTAGTTTGATGACGTTAGAGTCGCAACGTCCTTGGAGGAGCGCCATGGCCCCCCCGGCTCGAAGGGAGCGAGCGCTGAGAGCGTTGGGGGAGATTCCAGTGGTGTGTTCCAGGATCGCGGCGTGCCACCGTAGTGTGGTAGTGATCATGGACGCTGTGACTCTCACGTTGGTTTGGTGTCGGTTATAATAACTTGCCAATTTTATCGTCCCGTCAAAGGGGCGTTGGACAGAGCGGTGTAAAAGGAATTGGCGGATAACAGCCGTAACGGGGCAACACAACGGATCCCCACTACGGGAATGGGCTATTATATCGCCTTTGATCCCATTTTTCTGAGTAGTGAAAGTTAATTGTATCGACGTTGCTGCCTGCACTTCATGGTCTGTGGCTGTGGTGGGATTCAGCCGACGAGAACCAATGAAGAAGGCAACATCGTCGAGTGAAAAGGCTTGGTCATCAGACGTCGTCCCCGTGTATTCGCCMGGTCGCAGGCAAAAGAAGAAGGCTATGCAAATCATATTCGCAACAGCCTGTCGCTCCGGAGTAGGACGCTGGTGATAAGMAAAATTCAGGGCGTGAATAACAAGCGTAATAGGAACTGGCTTGACCCGCGATGGTGGCTCATCCCGGTTTCGATACGCTTTGAATTGAGCGGCTAGTCTATAATCTAAATCGCCGAAGCGATTGAGTCTTGGATCCRGGGACCCCATGCGGGTGATCTTCTGGCCCACTGATCTGATGGCGTCCGTAAMTGTATGAGCTCTAGCTCGCTTCTTGCTGGGAGAGAGGCGACCATCTTGGTACCTGGCTCCGAAGACTTGCAGATACGGGACTGGGTCCGTGGAAGCTCGGAGGAAAGGGTCAATGCTTTGCGACACACAGAAGCTAAGCCAGCAGTTCCAATGGGCATCCTTCTTTCRGGAGTACCCTTCAGTAACACAGGATCGCATCTCCTCCTGGATAGTGCCAAGATCAGTCCAGAATACAGAGGCTTTCTCAGCTGGCATTCGATCCAAGGCAATTTCTGTGGATACGAGCGGTTGAAATGTTGGAGGAGCTGTGAGTTGTCGAGGTGCCAAGCTCGAGACAAGGTGTCCGCCATAACATTGGCGGGCCCGGGGATGTAATCGTGTAAGGGGAMATAGCGAAACATCCTTTGATGTAGGGATTGCAACCGAAGAAGGTACGCGACGGGCCCCGTTGTGGTGGCGGCACCCTTGCGTTGCCAAGAGACCGTAGCCGTGTTGTCGTATAGGTTGTGGACTGTCCGTTCAGYGACCTTAGCTGTTTGTGCAAGTACATCTAGGTGACCAATGGACCCTGCGAGCTCTAGTTCACTATTGGTGATGGAACCGCTGGGATTGGAGAAAGAGACGAGGTCCCTCCTGACCCAAGGGGGGAATCGTTGCCGCCAATAGATCGGCTGGATGTCTCCCCCTGGCAAGGGAATGAAGTGCACCCCTCCCATCCCGTCCCCCGCTGCATCACAGGCTCCAATAGTGGCCGGCCAAATATCTGGCACGAGCTCTGCAATCCTGGTGGGACGAGAAGCGATATCCTCAGCGAGCCATCGAAAGTCCGCCAGGAAGCTGTGTAGAGCTGCGGTTAGCCGCAACCGCTGRCGATTCTCCTCCTTATGCCGCAAAGCTTCTTGCAGCAGTGAAAAGAGGCCCAGGGAGCCCGGTAAAGCGATGGACATCGATCGAAGCTCTCCTAATAGTTTATGCCAGTCGGATACTTTGGCATATTTCTGTGTGGGTTGGACACTTTGGAGGATGATGCGGAGGCGTTCGACYCTGTGCTCAGGGAGTGTGATGGTCTTGTGTACTGTATCTATCAACCATCCCAAGATCACCTTTGTYGTCGCCCACGTGGCATCCCCTTTGGACAGCTTTTTGAGCGARGCGGGCTCCTGTCGGTACTGTGTGTCCTGGTCATCAAGGGGGCGGAAGACTCGGTCCAACGAATGCAGTAGGGCTCTTTTCACCGCCCGCCTGGTCCACCTGTTCCCCTGTACCAGTCCGCAGAAGTCATCCACATATACATCCCAGTATCGGACCGGCTTCCGCTGCRGATTCGTTGCGGACGGAAGTGCGGGGAGGAGGGGCCTAAGATCGTGTTGCGGTGGTGCTTCCTCCCCTRCGGCCGATTCGGAGATCTCATCCAGACGGTGCGGCTGTGCTCTCATGTGGAGCATCCCCGCTGGTGYGGCAAGTGTGGTGTTCGCCAGATCCGCCACCGTCTCCGTGCAGGCACTAAAGTTTGGAGGCGAGGAACACCACCCCATAGGATTGGTGAGGGGTATTCCAATCAAGGCTTCTTCGCCCGGACGAGCGGGAAATAGTACTGCCAGTCCCATCGTGTCCTCTGGCTTGACCCAGAGCCGGTAGAAACCATCAGAGAGATCGATCTTGGACATATAGACGGGTCCAAAGCTATCGTTGGCTCTGTGAATGCGTTGGAGGAGCCTTTGCAGGGTCCGTCCGAACTGCATCGCTTCMGCTGGCGCTATAGGATGGGTTTCGTCGTTGACCCCAAAATAGCTGTAATCAGATATCATCCTATCCCGCCRCCCCCGTTGCGGAACTAGGCCCAAAGGGCTTAGCCGTAGGCCTGGTACGTCCTTGATCAACCGTGCTGGGAGTACTGTCCACTGTTGCTTATCCATCATGTCTGCATACTCCTCTCGCAGGAAACCGATCCCATTGAGGGAGGMTTTATGTGGTCCTCGAGCTAGAGCGGCGGCTACTCGTCCCGGGGACCAGGGAGGAGGAGACATGGTGGCGGGAGTTCCCTCCTGCTGGAACTGCTGTAGAAGCCGTGCTGCTGGATGGGGGAGGCTCCCCACCTCCGGGTGGAGGTCCCCTCGACCCCGTACGGAGCGTATGAAGCTCCCCCAGCTTTCGGCGTTSCGGTAGGCTGCTACTGCTCTTTCCACGTGGCAATCCAACCGGTCTCGCGGGTATTCCCGGGCGACTGCGGTTGGCTTAGTTAAGACAGGACCTTGGTGAGGAGGCTCGGTTCCCCCACGTGGCACTGGTCCTGGGCTGCTGGACCCTCGGGCCTGATCTCGGTCACTGGCCTCAATGGAAGGGTTGTTGCGATCCGTATCCTCCRCGGGGTCTCGGCTGTCCTCGTGTAGATCCGGCTGATCTTGGGGCGAAACGGGCTCCGCCACCGTGTTAACTATTAGGGGGTCATACTCATGTTTACATTTCTTACCTAATTCCTTTGTAGTGAAGAAGGCTTCTTTGCCGAGGGGACTCCCTGGAACTGCTGCATCTGACACCGACCGCTTTTGAACCGACGGGGGCAGTGGCACAGCAGCTGCGGAGACGATAGCAGGCTGCCTGCCCCGCCCTCATTGGGGGCCGTAGGCCTCCTGGCACCATTCCCAGAACCGGTTCTTCTCGTCTTCGGGGGCTTCGTAATGGTCGTAGCTTAGTTTACAGCTTTCATAGCAGAAGCCCTTGGTCCTCCAGGAGTGGCACATTTCCTTGCTGTCGTTGCGGAGACAAGGTCCTTTCCCTTTCTCCTTCATGATCCCCATAGCTTTCGAAATCTTCCAGCCTCGAATGCGGGAACCTAATTCCCCCCCGGCTTGGGAGATACGGGGATCCTGTGACGGGTTCTCGACCCTCACTTGGTTAGTGGCGGTGGCAGGAGGTGTGCCTGAGTTGCCGGCTTTGCTACTGGACCGGCTGGTGTTGCCYCCTTTCCCGCCGACCTTCCCTCCAGACTTGGGGGAGCTGTTCCYRTGCGTGGATAGCTGTAGGTTGTGCAAAGCAGGCACATCCGTAACGACGGGGAGCCAGCTTAGGTTCTTGGCCATCTTAAATAGGCGTAAGTCCTGAGTGAAGCTAGGTACCTCCACWGYAGTATCACTTTCCCATTGCTCTTCTAACCAGCACCGTACTCTGAGTTGGAAGTAGTAYACCAGTATTGCAGGGGCTAGCTTAGTCCCGCACTCGTCTACRAGGGCGTGCCGTAGAGTTAACTGGATCYGTTTAAGGCGATCCAACCCAGTAATGTAACTCCTCACCAGGGGATGTTCGACTCCAATTAGCGTGGCCAGGACAGGGAGATAGCCTTCGAGCTGCATCAGAGATTCGGTCCAATCGAGCGGTATGTGTCCATTGGATTTGCTTAGTGTCAGKGCGTCGGAGAGGCTTAGTGAATTTCCTTCCGTAGACATAAGTGTGTCGTAGGCGAGTGCGGCCTTGGCTTCCTCTAGTTGCCGTTTCCGG